ATACAGGTCACTGACTGACTGACTGAGTTACTTACCGCTATACTCAAGTAGGCAACCTCGTCTGTTGATGGGAAAAAAAAAGTATGGAGTCTCTTTCTTAACTTTCCATTAATCTTATATGTCAGTAAGAATTATACCAGTGGGAGTATTGGGCCAGTATCGCCGAATCTACACCCGCTGTCCAGGCTGGTTGTGGATTACGTGGCATTTTGTCCCGTGTCCTAGGGATCGACCAGCGCATCATATATAATCCTGCTCACGCCATAGAGAAACTTGGTTGGTCTTAAATGAAGTAACTATTATAAGCACCAACGTCTCGTTATAAGGCTATCATCACCGCAAAACTGTGGTCGGGCAGTTCGAGGAAACAATCAACTGATGCCTCATGTAATGCTATTAATTGCTGTTATTTTCGATTAAAAAAAAAGGTTCTTTTTCACCTTCAACTACTCGAGACCATTTGTATTAACAAAATTACGAGCATCTGAGTTTAGTACCGGAGTAGTAGAGCATTTTTTTTTCTAAAAAAAAATAAATATAAGTATAGCCAGCATAGTACCGGGAAACGAGCTTTCAAGTGTAGCATACTACGTCGCTAAGATTGGCTCAAACGCTCAGGGAAGCGGCAAGTAGCTGTAAGTACTTAGGATTAAATCAGCTATGGCGGGTTGACCACTGCCTGAACTCAAGCAATCCCGGTCAGCAATCTCATTATATCATGGATTCTAGATCCATCTCAATGTCCCGAAACTATCTCAGCTAGGCTGTACTAAAGTTCCCCGCCCGCCCTGTCGTGCCTGTAGCACTGAGACTGTGTGCTTTGAGTTCAGGCAGAGCAGACGTAATATGTTTCATCGTGAGGAATATTTTCGGCTCTATTAGTATACGGTGTCTGTAGATGTGAGTTCGGCGATGTCAAGTACAATCGGCACAGAGGGTTCCGAACCATCGGGAAGAATACCTTGGGCCGACCACCGGCATTGGCAGCTGGCCTGGGAGACCGGTGAACATGTTACCGGACCGAGAGTAGAATGCCGAAGATCATTGAGTTGACATATTAGCATATTATCGAGCAGTTCACTTTCTTCTTTATATCTCAATCATCCTCTTCATCGTTTACTAGTGTTAACTATTCACCAGCGACACAGGAAACATCAGCCTCACAAGATTCCAAGCATGACCGAACAGTACCTTGGCCTACCTATTGCGCCGGCAGATACAGCCTTTGGGCTGATGGCAGAGTATGATGCCGACCAGCACCCAAACAAGGTGTCCCTAATAGCAGGGGCATACCGCGACGAGAATGGCCAACCTTGGGTACTCCCAAGTGTGGAAGAGGTTGGTAGCACTTATGTCTGAATATTTCCTGGTGTTAACTAAGCTACCCTTCTCCATTTCAGGCCAAAGCACGCCTCGCCCAGGACCAGAACCATGAATACTTAGGCATCGCAGGCTCGCCAGCCCTTATCAATCTAGCTCAGTCCCTTACCTTTGGCTCCGATTTGGCCAAGAATCTAGACAAGAGCATCGCTTCTATCCAAACAGTCTCAGGAACAGGCGCAAATCATATGGCTGCACACTTCCTAGCACAACATCTTCGTCCAAAGCGGGTGTACATCCCCTCGCCAACATGGATCAACCACCAGACTATTTGGGCTGGTGTTGGGGTCCACATCGAAGAGTACCCATACTACTCTGCAGAAACAAGAGGCGTTGACCTAGAAGGAATGCTATCAGTGTTCGAGACTACCGCCGAAGAAAGAGATGTCGTGGTTCTGCAAGCCTGTGCGCACAACCCGACAGGTGTGGACCTCACTCACGAGCAATGGGCACGAGTTGCGGAAATGATGAAATGCAAGAAGTTATACGTTCTCTTTGACAGCGCTTATCAGGGCTTTGCTACAGGCGATATCAACGGTGATGCCTGGTCTATTCGGTATTTCGTGGAGCAACTGATTTTGAATGGGGGACCTGATCATCCAGGCCTCTGTGTGGCACAGTCTTTTTCTAAGAATTTTGGACTCTACGGCGAGCGTGTAGGTGCCCTCCATCTTGTCGTGCCACGGCACCTCGCCGCCCAGGGTGCCCGGTCGGTACTGCTTGGTCTCGCTCGTGCGGAGTACTCAAATCCGCCTCGCTATGGGGCGAGTATTGTCGAAACTGTCCTAAGAAATGAAGAGTTAAAAGGGCAGTGGCTAAGGGACTTGGATACAATGAGTTCGAGAATCAAGAGCATGCGGCGTGAGCTTCGCAGGAGGCTGGAAAGCAAGGGGACGTCGGGGGATTGGTCGGTTTTGGAGAGCCAGATTGGTATGTTTAGCTACACGGCGCTGAGTCAGGAACAAGTTACTCGCTTGCGAGAGGAATTTCATATCTATCTCTTGCCATCGGGGAGAGTGAGCATCTGTGGTCTGAATGAGGGGAATGTTGAGTACGTGGCAAGTGCGTTTAGGGAGGTGATTGGATCCAATTCCAGTTGAGTCCATGCAAGATAGCTCTACTAGGTCAATGAAAAAATGTCAGAACATACAAAACCTGGACAATACCAGTAACCAAAAGAGGGATTTCTCTTTTGGTCTACTTGGTATCTGTTCCAACAAAAACACAATCAGTTGTCTGAAAGTAAGTTAGAGTACTATATAAACTTACTACATGCTCATAATTGGTAGTTACAACCGAACACTATTTCTAGTAGTTGCCTAGGAATGCCACCATGACTCGCTTTGCTAAATTTAACCAGGGCTGATTTCTAAGGTAAGACAACACACAATTTTACGAATCTTTAACAGAGCATCGACAAAGTGCATCTGGCCTATTATATCACATTTACTCTGGAATGAACGCTGAATTAATTGTTAACAGCATAGGTTATTCAATATCTAGTAGTACGTAGGTCTGATAGCTATAATCTGATTGGCTTCCGGCTGCCATCCCCAACTACCATAAGCGGTTAGTTCCACCCCGCGGGGCATGGCCGGGAAAATTCTTCCCAAATGAGAATTGTCCGATAGAGTATAAACCATCTATAACCAGCATACACCCCAGCAGACCAAACAGCACAGCATGGGCATGAAAGAGCTGCCCATCACCCCTCGTGGAATCTTCTGGCAAGAAGAATTTATCACGCCCGAACACGAGCAGCAACTAATCACCATCTTCCGGCATGAACTAAAGTGGCCCGACCGCAGCGGGCGCACATCTCTCCACTACGGCTACACATTCGATTACAAGACTTTCGGAGTAGACCCCGAGATACCCTATAAGGAGTTTCCAGACTGGTTGAAGCCTCTGCTTCCCACGACGGAGTCCCGTCCCCCAGACCAGGTCTGTCTACAGTATTATCCTCCGGGAAGTGGCATCCCACCTCATGTAGATGCGCACCTGGCGTGGGATCAGCTGTATGCGCTGTCGCTGGGTGCGCCGGTCTTGATGCAGTTCCGGAAGGGCAAGACGGAGGAGCGTATTGATGTGGATTTGACCCCGCGGACGATGATGGCGATGGTGGGGGATGCGAGGCTTCATTGGACGCATGGGATCAAGAAGCGGAAGACGGATACCTTACCCGATGGCTCGGTGAGGCTGAGGGAGGATAGGTGGAGTCTTACGTATCGATGGCTTCGGAATGGGGAGTGTGAGTGTGGGAATGTTGAACTCTGTGATGTTGCTCAGAGACGGAATGGTATTGAGAAGGAGAAGAGGTCGTTGAAGCAGTTAGCTGAGGAGAGTGCCGGGAAGACTGCTTCTGAATGATCGGTGTTTGGCTGATGGAGCGACTAAGATGAGTCGATGGCTGCATATCTTCATATACAGCCTGTGGCTTTTGGTGGTGTATTCACGAGCCATCCAAGGCCATTCGCTCAGGCAAACTGCCTACTTTCCTGCATATGGCAGGGTGAAAGAAGCGCCCTATGGGAGAAGGGAATGGCAATGATCACGGCATAGCCCAAGCAGGCGGACACGAGGACTCCAACGGATACTGAAAAGAGAATTGCCGCTCGAAAGCTCCCGGTACTCCGAGGTCTTCAGTCTTGGCTGCATGAAAAGCTTACGTTTGACAGCCAGCACAACTTGCTGTAGGTGCAACCCTTTGAGACACCAGCCATATCCCTGGGTTGAAATCATTCCTAGGTTGAAATCAGAGACCACATAGCGCATATCCAAGCTGATCCCTAGCTTTTCCTCAAACACAAATTTACCGTGTATAATATTACTTAAATGCATAGACCGGTTTTCATCTTGCATCATATACAATTTTGACTCAGTAAGAAGAAATGAGCTCAATGATATTCTCAATATAACTGTGAGAATCACTGATAAGTACTGTCCACCAGATGAGCCAAACCGCCACACCATGTGTTGAGAGGTCTCTCTCACTGAGTGTTAAGAACTACAGCTGACACAGAGCAAAGCAACAAATGCCTTCGGCCTTGGGATTGTGTTTCGCCCTTACACTTGGTCTTTTATAAGAAGACACATTTAGTCGCTAATTCATGAAGACTACCGAGCAAATCCTCTTCCACGTTCAGAGTAGACACTGTAGATCCCCGAGTAGGTGGGAAATAATCAGCATAGGTAGAATATTGCCTCTCCAAGGCTCGCGATACTTCAAGTTCTCTATTGGTGGTTGCATGGAAAGCCTACATTCGACAGTCAGCACAATTGCAGCTAAAGCATCTGACAGTGTCATAGCTATATCCTGGGTTGCATTCTTTTCTGACTTGGAGGCGCACATAATGCACATCATCCACTGCCTGGCCTTTCTCACGGAAAGCTGTATGTATAGTTAATGACAAAGTTTGTATTCGCTCTTTCTTTCAACACTTATACCGTATTGCTACAAACATCACGATTCATGGAGATTATAATCCATCCGGATTGATGTATGTGACAAGATCTCATGCTTGGTAGAAAACGTAGGTCAGTAATGATACCGACATCTTCTCGACCGAGCTTCCATTGTTATATAAACATCCGACTCTGAAAATCCCATATTACACTGACTAGGTGTAGGAAGCTAGAACCCCACTACTTGTGTACAGGCGATTGGTCTCCCTTAATCTGTAGAGTTCTTCCGATGACCGACAATAACGTATATCTCCATACCCATTGATAAATGTCTGCCCGGTACCATTGGGGTAGTAACCGGGACGCTCAAGCGTCCCATCTGCACTGCAAATAACAGCCTACTAGGTGTCAGATGTTTGCACTTAAATGTAAGGAGGCATATAGATACTTCTCTCAAAAAATGCATACAATGCGGCCAGTGTGTGTTGGCTGTATGGTCTATACCGATGTCCTGTCCATTGCTAGCTTCTTGCAAAGCCTTCCGTAATGATGCGAGGCAATGGAGCTGATGGAACCTGAAGAGAGGTGAGTACTAATCCCTTTTGGTAATCATCAACGTCTTGAGCTGACATCGTTATTTGGACGACACTCCCTTGATCATCAAATATTAGCGCTGATTGCCCTGTCTCGTTCCATAAAGAGTCGTATCTAGGATCCAAGGACATATATGAAGTGTCCCGTTTCCATCTCTTTTCAATCAGATTGAGACCCTCTAAGAGGGGCTCGCTTGTACAAGCTGAAAGCATGGACCAGAGAAACATAATGAGCATAGCTTGAAGAGTCAGAAGTATCGTGATCAAAGAAGGAAATACTATGCGAAGGGGGGATGCCTTTCCACTCTGACTTTCCTCTTCTAAGGCGTAATGAGGTAATTGTAAGCTAGAACAACCTGTAACAGCCATAACCAAGTAATCTCTAGAAAGACCAGTAGCCAACGGAGGTGATGAAATATGGATAGACTAGACAATGGATCCAAAAATCCGAAAGCGACTCAGAGACCCTGGGGGGAGTTGTATTGAGGGAAAGGGAAATGGCCGAGGAGCGCCCCCGCCCCCCGGGTGAGATATTTGCGATGCTACATTGTAGGAGGGAAGTGAGATCACGAGCCTAAGCTTGCACACAGAATATGCAGAAGCCGTAATCAGTGTCTGTTTCCTTGCTAGTCAACAAATTAGGACTTGGAAGAACACTGGAAATAACAAAGTGAGTCATGATTTTACCACAATGGCTATGGTCTGCGTGCACAAATAAATTTGCGAAATATGAAGAGCTCAGTATTTTCATATAGCATGGGAAGCTTATGATTTGATTTCTTGTACTAGGATAGGTAACATGTGGCAAACGAGACATTCGCAACAATTTCTTGTTAGTTAGAAGTTAAGCCTATGTGTAGGCTTACTGTAAGACATTGTTCGAGCCACATGCCTTTCACCCACTACTCCCACTACTCCCAGTACTACCAGAATAACTCACCAGAATGGCAATCCACGCTGGCTCGGTATTGCTTGGCAATGCAGGTATTCCATTGTAAACCGCGCCCGGTAGCTATGGTCGACGTCGACCAAGTAGTACGAGCAATGGTCGTAATGCTCTGGGCTCAAAGTCTTGTTGTCGCTAAGATGATATCCCTGTAACACCGCCCGTTGCAATATCTTCCAAGCATATGTGCAATGTGTTCGATGATATCGTCCGGATGTATATATCTGCTTGTTAATGCCCTTTCTCAACTCCTCCACGGGAATCTTGTCAGATTTCTCTCGGTGGTAGAAGAATTCAAAAGCCTCATAAACATTATAGGTGCTGCTCAAATCGGCGTCGAAACAGGGCTTAGGCACCCACGCGAAAGACAGCATGTCAAATTGGCAGTCCCTTTCTACTGCTTCTTCTGGTGTCGTCCCGCAGCTGTATACCGTCCCGTCCTTGCTTTCAAAAAGCCGGTATCCGATAATCATAAGAGTGATTAAAGCAAATAGAGCACCAGCTACCCTGCAAATTGGCCGGGAGTATGAGGCAGTAAGGTTTTGACGTAGATTGCGGTTCATTTGTTCAGAAGCATGACCCTGTTCGCAAAGGGGCTCCTGAGAGTCATCCTTGGGATGTTCTGGCGGATGGGCAAAAAAATGCCACATTCTGAATATCTCGTCTGAAATGTGCAATCCAAGCGAGGCAGAAGAAGATTGATCAGAAGACGAAACAACCGACTTAAAGCAGTGGACGTAATACCAATCTCTCAAGACTTCGAGATTTAGAAAGATGGGCTCTGCAGAACAGCCGAGAGCTGGGAATGGGGGGAAGGGAACCGGATAACAGGACAAGGATTGCCAACATGGCACTTGGTCGCCACGCCAAGAAGCATTACGCTACTCGCAGCAAGTGGGTATAACCAATGTATTCGGCGCTTTTTTTCATCCTGCAGCCTCTATGCAAACGTGCCACCCTCCACAGAAACTGTTTGGTAATGTTCCATTGATATCATTTGTATCTCCCACCCTTACTACAATAGTAACCACAATTAAACTCAGTGTTACGAAGAGCATACTCATGGTGCAACGATATAGATTGTGTGCAAATGACTGTCTTTATGTGGACCGAGCATCTGCCTACGTTAAGTTTGTCCTGACTTTTCAGATTAAACCATTGGATTCAAGAAGAATTTTACCCGAAGGTCTAGCATTTGAAAGGTCTGGCGGGAAGCAACCGGACAACTCGATAGCATATGCCCTTTTTGCACATACCAACACAAGTAAATCATACATGCGCTGAGTTACTATTTATGAACTTTGTTTCCTGTTGGGCATCATTTACACTACGGATAAGAATAGAGTCCAAGAGTGCTTCCAGAGATGTAGCCTTTCGTCACCCCCCGCACACCAAATGGGTCATTCGATAGCTCGTGGCAGGGTTCAAGGAATGGTACTGGGCTTAACGGTCTCATCCCAGTCACCAATATCATGTTCTGGTTGCATTGCCCACTCTAAAAGTGCATCATAATCTAGCACATGGTTAGCATTGCGTATTATGACGGATCGAGAGAGCTTGGTAGTACCTCTACAGGTGTGCAGTACACCCAGAGAACCCAAGGCCTTCCCCCTAGACTCCACCCATTGATAAGGGATGGGCGAGATGTCAGCATTACACATAATGGTCTGTCGCAGTGAGTCAAAACAATGGTCAATATGACCGGGCGCGAGGATTGCTTTGTTGATCACTGGGTCCTCACTGAACCTCTCAACGTGACCATAATAGAGATGGCGGATGGAATCTAGACAATGAAGCTCATGGAAAACGCTGATGAGAACGGGGAATTGGTCCTCGCTACCTGCAATGGGGATCGTCTTATTTACCAGCTGGTCTGCCGAAGCCTTTGGGATACGCAGTACCGTTCTAGGGTAGAGTTCGTACCAGGCTTTGTCTGCGGCCGTAGAGTTGCCCATATATTTTGTTCGTTCGTTACCGAAGCCGCTGGAGAAAAGGACCTCCTTGTAACGGAGTGCCTCTTGAATGGGCGCTAGGGTATCCAGAGGTCAATTAGGAATCTATTTACAACGCCCAGAGCTCTCAAGCGCAGATCAAAATTTTGGTGTTGATATCCCAGTGCAATATGGAAGATAGAATACCTACAATAGATTGACTGGGGAAAAATAGGGTTTGATGCCCCCCGCTGTGAGTATTGTTGGCCGATGAAGATCAACAGCAAGATATTCAAAAGACCGGACAGGGCAAGTAATATAATCGAAAGCTTGACCATTATTCGCGGGGTAGAAGAGAGTAGATTATGTAATTCATCCACAAGGAATGCATCTCGTTCGTCATTGAGCAAGCTGTCTTCCCAATCAACTTTCTTCTCGTAACCGCAGTCGCTGAGTTGAAGAGCCATTGTATCAATGGTGCGGCCTTTTGCTTCAAGGAACATAGGTATCGTGAGAAAATATTAATGAACGGAGCGAAAAGTGCTGTGAAGTTGGTAGAGGAAAATGGAGAGAAAGTAAGGGAGAATTTGGCGAGGTCAGTGAGAAAATGAGCATCAGTAATAATGTTCCATTAAGGCCCCAGGTTATTCCTCCCATGTAACATATTTTGGGCCAGCGCATGCTTTCTGTGCACCGTTGTGTTTGCTTTCCTCATTATACGCATCTTACAGTAATCATTAATAATGGATTGCAACGAGGGAATGCAGTATCCAGCTGACACCTAATACCTTCTACGCCGGCTTCCCCCCCTTTATGCCCTGAATTAGATTGAGATATCTGCAGGTGATATTGCGTTTGACAAGAATGAATAGCTTAACATTTAAAACTGGTCTTCTCCGTATGGATGCCGACTCCTAATCTCTCGACATTTCGCAGAGCCCTCCAGAGCGAAAAGCTTACAACATTTACGCGTTACTGCTGTCAATTGTTTGTAATTCTATTTCATATCAATTATTATATGGCTTTCTTCACTAAACGATATGGTCTAGCGAGCATGAAGATCTCAATTTACGTTATGGCGGCGGTGAGTTTGACCACGTCAGTTGTAGCCGCTCCCATGCCATCCACTCCTGTCAAAGGTCGTGCCCCAGTTGGCTCATTCATATGGACCTGATACGGTGACGACCAGGAGGAGACTCAGTCTTCCGTCGGCCCCACACCGGAGATCATGTCAATGAAGAGGTCCACTGATCTCAAGGTACGGTGTCCCTCTTTTGGCATCGAGATTAATCGCCGACGTATACGCATAGACTCGCAAGCCTATCGGCTCTTTCATCTGGACTTGGTATGGGGATGACCAGGACGAGTCTGAGCCTCCCGTCAAGGTTGTTGAGGGGGATACATCTGTTGTTGAGTAATCAAGAGTATAAGCTACAATGGGCATCTATCAATACAATCTGCATTTCAGAGGAACTATCCAGTTACTCCAGGCTTCTAGCATTCAATTCCTTAGATTCCGGACGCCAAGAATGGAGCTTATCGGATCTGCTTGAACACACAGGGCCTTCCATGTGACCTTCTATGATTATGTGCTATGTCACCCCTTAATGCAAGCTTACAGTTACTGTGTCGCCGATCACAGAGGTTGGCTAGGCCACGTAGAGCCAAGCTGGAGCATGGCATTGTCAAGGCAATTTGACTGTCCGAAATTGTTTTGCAGCATAGAATACCATTCCGGGCAGCTTGGCGCTGTATTACCCTGAGCCCCATGGGGAAGGAACCGGCAGTTATAGTAGCGCCTTGGATAAGCCACCTCAAGCTGGCTTCTACATGATACCATTGATCTCAAGAAGCAATAGGCAAATACATTAAGTGCAAGATTCTCCTCGGCACTCATCGTGTGAAATCCATGTCTGTAACTACTTCTAGTGTATTCAGAATGTGGTATTGGTGGCGCAGGCCTGAGGCCCCCAAGCTGAAAGAGGCGGAGGAAGAGCTTCTACAAAGCGATGTCATCAGCAATTCCTTAGGTTCAACACCGATCCTCACAGACAAGGGCCATACACTTCGCGTGTCGTGGAGCTGGACTCTCCAGTCGGTGATGTTGGTGTGCTCCTTTGCATTTTTCATATCAGGCTGTTATGATGAGCCAACAGAAGCTGCATGTACCCGGAAGATGTTTCCGTACTGTAGGTTAGCATGTTCATGAGTTGGGTTGGAAAAAGGAGCACCCTAAAACTACATTTTAAACGCTAACAATCTGGTAACGCCTTTACAGCACCTGCCTTGGAAGCCGTCGAATATCATGATGAGACTATAAAGGGTGAATTCATGCAGACATCGCCTTTCCGCGGGACGCCGACGCCTGAGCTTGACGCCCGCTGGGAGGAAATTGCAGATGGAAACGCGTTTAATGTTGCCTCTGATAAGATTCACCTCCTGAACAAATCCATCTCCCGGCCGTGGCATCACACAGATCCTATATATGGTGGAGGAATCGCAGCCCAATCTTGGGGTAGCCATCAGTTGCACTGCCTTGTACGAGAAATCCGAAGCATCAAACGATCATATTGCTGAATTCATGACTTACGTAAATAGCACAGAACATTCTTCGTCAAGCGACGTTTGAGGATGTTTACAGGAAAGCCGATCGATTGCCCGAGATTCTCCGTGTCACCAATGAAGTTCGCCGCAACCACCTTGGTAAGAGCCATTTTGCCGCCATCTCGGTGTTCTACAACCACAAAATATGGCCAAGAGTCTAACAGACATAGATCACTGCATTGAAGTTATTCGTTTGGACATGATGTGCCAAGCTGACGTAACGCCGTACTTCATCATGGATCCTGCTCCAGGCCATGCGTCTGATGCGCTTCGCACGGATTTTTCTGTGTTTAGGAGGTGCCGTGACTGGGGAAAAATCAGGACTTGGATGAAAGGTCATGTGGCTATTCAAAGCATCAGGGACACAATTCTATTCGAACCTGGGCATAGTGAGCACAACTAGCAGACCAGTCTGTGCACGGTTACGGAATAGACCTTCTTACAATCAACGGGATCTAGGTCAGAGTAACAGTCAGCAGAGACTTATGGGCTACGACCAGATGGACTTTTATAGCCTGAACGAGACATCAATTGTCATCATTCTACATTCAATCCAATTCAATTCTCTTCGTATGTAGTCTAACATAAATTTTCTTGTTGCATGGAGTCTTGATGATTCTTTTGATCCACATTATGAGCGCAACGACCTCCAATAAATTCATGGGCTAAATAGACCCTCCAAAATGGGATGAAGAGTGCTGGTTGTGTCTTAATTCACCATGTTGTCCAGAGCAATGGACCGATGCTTTCCAAGGCAGATTTTGGTATTCAGCCATTCGAGTATCCTGCCAGTTCCTGATAAAATTGACATTAAACTCGGGCCGGTAAGCGTTTAAGGTTTCATCCACCCGGGTTGTCATAACCTGGACATCTGCATACCAGAGAGCCGACTGGTAGAGATAGCGGAAGCAGTGAGCTGAGTGCTTCTCATTATTTGCTACGCGATCATGTGTTTCATCGAGACAGATCTTTCGAAGATCACTCTGGAAATAGTGGATTCGATAATCAGAACCCTAATACACATGGATGGCGTTCGGTTTAGCTTGCCAAACAGTGCAACTGATAGAACATCTCTTATGAGACTGCATAGCCACCTTGTAGTCCATATTCTTAGGCACTATCACTCCCCCCAGGAAGCCTCTGCTTCGTTGATATAGCATAATGTCGTTCAAGATTGGATCAGCCGAAACCGAGTCAATTTCGGAACTGTCCATCGAATTTGAGTCAGTCTTGTTGGAATATCTATTTGTAAAGGACATGCATGTAATCAATTTAGTTTCAACGACTATTGTTTTTCTAATTCTTTACATGATTGAACACGGACCCCTTATTCCGTTCTAGATACTTACTTACCTTCCAGAGAATGGGTGCGCCAATGAAAGATTCTATTTTAGGCTTGAATTCGTAACGTGGGCAACCATAAAGCTTACCATTGAAGCCGAGTGAACACGTGTTTCTTTTATGTTATGTGACATATATGATGACGCCATAGGCCGCGAGGACCATGACAGGCCATTGGTCTTGAACACGATGCTTGTTCTCTTGTACCAGGGTGGGCTCGGTAACTCATCGACAAGCTCCAACTTTGCTGTACCGCTTTGGAACTGCATCACACATTGCTTAGTTTGTTGGACGTTATCGAGCATGTAAAAGAGCCAAATCCTCTGGCAACCTATCATCCATGTAATCAGGCGGTTTTAATGTGGGATACTTTTCCTTGCACTCGGAGGCCTTGGCTGCGTAGGAGAAATGCAGTGTAGCGCTCTATCGCACTCAAGATTGAGATACCCCGCTCCAGACTACCATATCTGCTAAACCTTAATTGAGGTTGCACTTCATATTTTCGCCTTATATCGAGATCGCCGGCCTCCGTATGCAAGCAAATAAGCGGCGATCTTGCAATATGACGCAGTATCGCTGATCACAGCTGGGTCACCTTGCAGGAAGGCCGATCGGGTTAGGATCGATACAGTCACCAGAGTTACATGATTAGCGTAATCGACAGGACAAATACAAAATTTTGCATTGGAATTGCCCAAGGGTGACCTTCCGCACTGAATGCAGTTTCGAGGGATTTAGGCCCCATTGTAGTCGAGTCAATGCATGTCGCAGTAAGCGCCAAGGCTCATATTATTCGATACTGTACCACTGCGAGGCGGTGGCAGTCAGAAAGCGTCGCTGAAATTAGGTGGTGGAGGTTTCCAGGTCGGTTGAAGGTGGAACTTGATTTTGTGTACGTACTCGGGGCCATTCAGGCGGATTGACTGATTGAGACGCGCTGGCGTACTTGGGTTGTGGGCCTTACCCGAGAGTCTTGTCAAATATAGATAGGCGGAATGTTTCCTTGCTGTGTGATCAGCAAGATATGAGCAGACAGCTTCCCGCTAAAAGGACCTCTTCTTAACGGTGGCACTAGTGCTAGACCTCACCAGCCTTTGATTCTCTATAGATTTCTCAGGTTGAATTTATATAACTAGATTTACAAATGTCTGGCACCTACACATGCCGCTATTCTGCTGTCACTTGTGCAGAGAATTCTGAGAAACAATTCCAGTACTCTTTCAAGAGTAGGTTGTTTCAGTCAGTTGCTCTGGTAGCTGCGCTTTTTGCGGCAGGAAGTCTTGGTGTCTTAGCTGGTCAAAGCTCTCTCCGCGTCCACGATAACGAGGGATTTTATTGTGAGTTTTCGGAACACATGGTATCCACACTTCAGGGGTGACAAATCAAAAGTGCACGATCTATCGATCATCTTCAGCCGCAATGAATCATTTTCGACAAATTCGAAGGAAGCCGCAGAAGCATGGCATAATCTTATTCCCCGCCATGGTGGATTTTTCAAGCATCCTAACATTGCGCCAGAGGAATCTGTTTTCGCAGTTTTCCATCAATTGCATTGTCTTGTATGTCCCCAGTATACGGCATCAAAACGAAGTAACTGACATAGATGCTCAAAGAATGGAATTAGGGAGGCATATTGGATCTTATATGACGCGATGAATGAGCAAAGGATTATCAAAGACGATACTATGCCCCAAATGGCTCACCCTCGTCATTTCGGGCATTGTATAGACCTCATTCGGCAGGCCTTAATGTGCCAACCAGATCTAACCGTCGAAGTCAAGAATGAAACCATCAGGGGGGTAAAGGGTTTCGGAACCGCACATCAGTGTAAGAACTGGGAAGAACTCATGAATTTCACGAAGACATGGGTGGCACGAACCTATAGGGAACTTTAATCTCTCGAAAAAATTAGTTAGACCCCACCCCAAATATAGAGCCATGCCCCATAAGCTATTACCCTTTTACGGTCACTGCGGTTGTTATGGAAGTAAATGATTATGATATGGTGTTTCACTATATTTTGGCGGTTTCCTGAGCTGTGTGTTATCGTTCAGAGCAAAGCCCCCCCCGGCAACGATTAGCCGCTGTCTCAGTGTCACATAGACCAAAAGATGTTCCACTCCACGTGCCAACAAAGTCCAAGCTTGTCGCATCATGTAGTGAAATTGCTCTCCCAATGAATGCAAAAGGCAGACGAAGTTCATTACCGCGGCATTATCGTTCGTTCCTATATTTGGTATCTAACCGAGAAGATGTCGTTTGCTGCCAGTGCATGAAGACTTCTGAGTAAATCCTCATCTTTCACACTTAGTGTAGACACCGCAGACCCCCAGGCAGAGGGGAAATACTCGGTATCAATGCCACACCTGTTACTCGGCTAGTACAAAATTGCCAAGTTAGGAAAGGGTAGTGATAACCTACGTTGCTCCGACTTCGGGGAGTATCCCTTCATTGAAATAGTGCCTCAGATAGCTCACAGTACACAGGGAAGGCATGCTAAGGCTACAGTGGCCGTACGATAGCTGCTCCACGAGACGAGCTCCTTCGAAGCTATTATGGGCTTTCTTTGCAGATACCAATGGACACGCAGGGTCCCACGTAGTCGACAATATTAGTATTGGCTCTGCTGTTCTGATCCGTGGATATTCGGGGTAGTACTGAGGACGAAAGTTGTGCGTTGTTGGGATCGACCACGATGCTCGATCGTAGATATCAGATGCTTGATAACGCGATACCAGGAACGACAACTCCGGTCTGGATATAGTATGGTTGTAGACTGGCTTAACACCATGAACTGGGGCATCTTGTCCAGTCTTTCGATTATCATTCAATCCAATGAAGATAGTTGAGTCATCCACGAGATACTTGAGAAGCCATGATTCAGAGTATGCGTTATAAGCAGGTGTGTTGTTGCCGTTGAGCAGCTCAGCCAGATTCTTTGCAAGTAGAGGCCAAGACTTTGGCTTGTATAGGGCCATGAGTATTCCATTGCTAACTATAGTTCGACGGGTGATGGCTCCGTAATCCGTACTGTTTAAGTAAACGGGAATTGGTTCGTCTTCGAGTTCCCGTAAGAAGCCATCGAAATAGGACTGGAGCTGGCCAGCTGACTTGAAGTGTTCTCCCTTGATTGATTGCAGCGGACAATCTTCTTTGGCTTCGAAACATTCCTTGAGAAAGCCAGTGTAAATTTTGTCTGTGTCGGTCAACGACTCTTCCAGAAAGAAGGAATTATACCACTGATCTAAGTTGCTAACTCCATCAAGTACCATTCGAGAGATTTGCTCTGGAAACATCTGCGCATATGTCTGACCGAGTGTAGTTCCATCTGTTCTCCCGTTAGTGAATCACCTCGCTAGCTGAATGGAGTGAATATACAACTAAGTCCCCAGTAGTACATATTTTTCTGTCCAATCGCATCGAGAATTAAGTTCATATCGTATGCGGTTTGGGGGGTGTTAATGTATTCCCCGTGCTCACCCATCATATCTCGACAGGCCTTTGCTTTATTCTCCGCCCTAGTGTACATCTCACCGGCTTGGTACTCAAGATTCCAAGGGTTGCTTGCAAACGCGGTAGCCCGTTCGCCAGTGTTTTGGTAGCAAACAGCTTTCGGTATCGATCCACTGACACCACGAGGGTCGAAACTCAGTAAGTGGAAGCCTTCTCCAACGAGTTTGTTCAAATCGGACGCAGATCCGCGCAATAACCCCATTCCACTAGCTTAAGCATGTCAGAGAATGCCATTCCTTTCGAAGCCTTAACATACCTCCAGGTCCCCCGGGATTTAAGAAAATATGCCTATCTCCAGTAGCGGATGCATTTTTGGCTAGCATCCTTATGATCGGTAACGAGAAAGTCTTGTCGGACGATTGGTTGAGATGGTTCACGGGCACTTCCAGTCGGGAACCTCCGCGTCGCGTCAACGCGGTTCAAGAAATGCCACAAAACATATGCATACTTACATTGAAGTGTATGGTTGTTAGCTTCGCCACAGCTCTTCCATTGCAAGACTGGCTTATTATGAGATTTAAGGGGCTTCTGGAACTCGTTCGCAAAACATAATCCCACAATCGCAGAGCTTATATAAGTCGTCACCAGCGCACACCAAACGAGGCTATTCCAGCCTTTGGTGCCAAACATAATGGGCGGTGGTATTTTCAGGTAAAGCCTGGCGTGTTTGGATTAATACTGCCACGGTCTGATTAATGTGTTCTTCCTGAAGTGGGCTGACAGCTCAAGAATCTGAATGTGTGTCGGAGAGTTGATCATGTATGTCCGAAGTAAAAAAAGTCGATGTACCAGTAGCGACTTGAAGTCATAAATCATCAGAACTGAGTAGGTATGCGCTGGCTGTCGTGCACCAGCAAGTGGGTTGTCTTCTTGTTGGTTCACGCAACCCTCCAGGTCCATTACGTTCACTTACTCTTGCCTTTGTGTAACTGTTTTTGCCCCAGCCACACTGTGATTTTCTGCCGCGCACAACCGCTCACTGGCATAACTGGCTACCGGTAGTCAGCTTAGTTATTTGGTTGGTGGGGAGATCCATATATGATATTCAGTATGTGGATGGGGATGGCAGAGATGGGTATGGGCTCCAAAGTAATGAAAAAAGTATTTTAAGCTCCTGATACTGACATTTGGCAGCTGTCAGACCAGGGTCGAGGATCATACAATGGCCAGGAGTGGTGCACCGCGTTCATGACATCGCTCATACAATGCCTGCAGCGGCATGGCACAATCTGGACGAGCATAGCTCGATATTGAAGCGGGTGTTGCGCAAAATAGGCCTGAGACCAGTAGAGTATTGAACTACTTCAGTGAAAACAGCAACTACAAGGAGCAGGATAACATTCTGTACTACGAGTAAAACCCCTGAGACCCCCAAATTTTCCAGAGTTAAAACATTTGACATACACCATACTTTCTAAATCAGATAGTTGACCAGACTTACATAATGAAAACATAATCAGGGTAAGATATTGATTTCTAATCTCATACCTTAGGGAATAACAGATCTATTGACAGAGTAAGGCAGAATGATCATCTATCCTACACGAACGGGCCTATCTATAAGCTTTAGAAACTATCATTTAGGTTACTGGCACGAGTTGCAGGAAAGGGTACTAGTATACCAAGTCCAGTAGCCAAAATATTTAACCCGTCGCTCCAAAGAGGAGGAACTTTCCTGGACAGAAGCAGATAAGATAACGATTGGAAAACCTCATATCTGTGGAAGCAGCCGAATAAGTAAGATGATGCACTCAGAAATATTATTCTATTCAAAATACCAGACTTGACAAGCTATTCTGCTTTTCTTCCATGGTATTTACCTCTCACCTACCACTTAGGTACTGCATGGTGCATATACAGTTTGTCGAGATTGTTAGCCAGTGGATTATTCCTGCAGTATCAGTAACCTCTGCATGATATTATCCTTGATTCCTGTTCGAAGTTTTCCAGTAGATTGAAGTATCTGTATCAACGTCTCCGAGAATCACAGGGCCATCTCCTGTTTTTGATTATTTTTTCTTAAAAAAAAAGCCCTAACTGTCAATCTTATCTTGAGCACCATCCAAAAGCCGGAACCATCCTCAAAGCCCAACCCACAAAAGCATTCCACCTCGACAGGATTCTTTATATATACCACTACTGCACTCCTTCTAAAGATTGCTCCACCGTCACTTCAATCCTCACTGTTACTGTATCATTTACAGCCAAATCCCTAGCCCTCTATTAACCACCCCCAGAAACAATCAGCACCATGTCCAATCCCTACCTCAACGGCCTCGTCAACGGCCACGGCGACAACGACAACCACGGCGTCCCCATGTCCTACGCCGACCTCAACGCATCCGGTTGGAACGGCGACTGGGACTTAGCTCCTGCTTGTGCTGAGGCCCAATGGCGGGTGGAGCTCGAGGCCAACCCTGACCTGCCCGCGGACCGCTTGGGGGGCGTGGTCGTGTTTCGAGGACTGGACATGCGCCTGTTTCCCATCGTGAACGGTCAGGCGCAGGAGCCATTCGAGTATGAACGCCAGGTGGAGTGGGTGTCAGAAAGTAACGAGTTCGAAGAGGCGTTTTATGCGTTTTGTGAATTGCTGGCGCAGGACAACTGAGGTTCGTTGTGGGGTAGATCGATAACGTTTGGTCTGTTTTTGCTCGTTGAACCATAACGGGAAGGAAGCAGAAAACGGACAAAGAAGGAGAAAGCAATCAAAGCATATTCTTTCACGAAATCTACAGCAGTAAGCCTTCAGTGGGACAACTCCAGACCCCACCTTCTCATATCTTTCTGATTGCAGTTACCATGTACCTTGAATATTTAGAGTAGCAGTCATCAGTTAATTGGTTAGTGTGTAAGCTGCGGACACCAATCAAGCCTGTTAGTGGGGGCCATACTATTGTGCTCTGAAGTAACACCCGTAGTAGAAGGTCATATTATAATGTTAAATAACTGTATATACTAATGGTCAGGCAATCCGATATTTTCCATGAAATATCCCCATAGAAAATGTAACCGGGGTCTCAGATTCGCAGTCCGTATGAAAATGAATCTTTCTGGGGATGTGTTTGCGATGGATCCGTTGCTGACGGTTACGGATGATCGATTGCTGTAGGTGGAGAGGTATTAACAGTGGAAATTGTTGCCGAGGTAAGATATGGTGGTGCATCAGTGCGAGGGGAAGCATGCGACGATTCTGGGGGAAAGGTATGTTAATGGGTTGCAGTTGATGTGGAGGCGGGTGTTGGGAGAGGGAGGTTTAGACTGTATAATGATATGATATAACTGCGCTGTTGTTGCAATATGAGGTCAGTAGCTTAGTTGCGCATATATCGAGGGCTGAACCAGAAAATGTTATGGGAGTTACTATCCATGATTGCGTCAGCATTGGATGATGTTATCCTGCTTCTGGTGTCCTTTATTGAACTACACAGAGGGTTAGAAGTCATGTATTGTGGGAATAATCACACGGAAAGGCTAATATGCCGATGATGATGACTATGATGATAAAGAAGGAGAGGAGAAGAAGGAGGAGGACGAGTATATAGGCTAGCTACATAATGGTTCAACCATACTAGGTAGGAAGGTGGGAATGGTTAGGTGACCGTCACAGCGGCTGGACTTACACCATATTCTCCGACATGCCTTGTGTTGTTGACCAGTTATGGGGCTGAATTCTTACATATAACAAATTTACTTGAGTCTTCAGGCGTGGAATTTAAATTTGTGAACTATACATTTGATATTGACGTAGCTTTTGACTAACTTGCTAGGCATAGTATCTAGTATCACGAAGATCTGTCAACGCACTAACCACTCGACCAAAAACAATATATCGCGTCTAATAGTTAGACAGGCGACAGAAAGATATGTCTCTCAACATAGAGGGCTTATAGTAAATAACATAAACACCGCTTGAGCCTCATCGTAGGTACAAATACAGAAAAGAAAAGAGATTACGAACACCATGTGGGTCATCCCTCCTACGTTCAGAGCTTCACAATTGCTGGAGACTGAGAGACAGAGTTTTCATCTGTAAAATATTGCACTTACTCATCATCAGTATCTACTTAGCTTTACTAATTAGGCCTGTGTCCGTGACGTATCCATGGTGGAAATATTAGATATTTGACAGCTCGTAATAATGCCTATTATTTCGACCGTGACATATCCTGTTTGCAGGTATCTCGACCGCTTTTGTAATTAATACTTGTTCCTATACAAGTACTCTGGGTAGTTGCAGCGTATTACCGTTATGGGCTTTTGTGGCTTATGGTACATGACAAAGTATACTAGGTTTATTATGTTAATACTTCACGGCCGTTACCTGCATGATGCCGATAACAACGGTCCACCGACAATCGCGGGGCGCAAAAATGATTCACCGAGCTGGAGGGTCAGCCATTTAAAACCTAGCAAGTAGCAAGTCAGGAACCAAGGCTTACAGCACACCCTGGAACATTTTGAGTTATTTTCAGGCCACACCTTTGGGCTGCAAGTGCAAAAGTCACAACAACATCACATACTGCTATTAATAGATTTCTGATTCTTGATACTCTGTAGACATAAATTCTATTCCCATGGTCTGTTGGTCACTTTTTAATAGAGGGATATATATATTATATGCATTTTATACCTGTAACCCTCAAGCTTTCATTTGTATTAAATGCAAGATAATTACGGAGTAGTGAGAGGTATTTGATCGGAGTAAGAAAGAAAGAGAGTGATGGAAATGATTGCATCATGTGGAGAGGAGAATTAGGGAAATTTTCCTACGTAGGCAATAGGCATGTCTCGGAGTCCGGACTGGCACTAACCCCAAAGCAGCTAGTCAGGGTCCGGGCCAGACCAGTCTGCACTCTGACTAGTGACTTGACTACAAGCTGATTGCCCCTAGCGACGCTGTCCCGTGGGCGGGCAATTATTTGTGTACACACCCGAGCCCTCGTCATTTACCCCAGGCTTTCTTTGGAGTAATTGCTTCCAAGAATACATTCTTGGTCGACTACGGAGTACTAGATACCAGATTGCCCTTATCTAGATCACTTCATGCACTCACTGACAGCACGATTCAGTTTCACATACCGATCGGACTCTGCATTCTTGCCTCCCCCGGACATCATTACATTGGCATCCCACAACACTTAGTTAGACTAATACTTGCTGGGGTCTTGGCGACGATAAGCGGCCACACCCCGTGATAGTCCCAGTTTCAGCATCGGTTCCCCCCTCATCATCTGTCCAGCATTGACTCTTTCTTCTTTTTCTCTTCTGTCTCTTTCCAGTCCGCTTTCCAACCCATTGCCCGGCCTGGCACCACGACTTCCTCCACCCCCCCGACCCTCTAGTTCCGGTGCAGATCCTCGAACTGGAGAGAGTCCCCGTTGATCAGCTATCGTCGCATCCACGCCTATTCCTATCTAGTCATCGAAAGAACTTCCCCGGCTCCGACTAATCAAGTTAAGGTGGCATTACTATTGGGTGTTAGAGACGCTTAGTGCACCTCGAACCATCCCAGGCCGGGTCCGGGTCCATCTCCGCCGCTCGACTAGTATTAGTATCCTCTCTTTGACCACTCGCGCCCGCACTATTTCCCCTTCCTTTCCTCTCCCATCCATCTCGCCCTCATTTATCCTTTGTGCGCTACTAAAACCATCCACATCTCGCCTTGGCAGGGGTTTTGGTAGCTAGCGCTTCCTCGCATCTTGCTCCATCTACCGCACTGGGATCTCTCTGTTCGCATTCGTTTCTTCTCTGCGGTTGTGGGAGCATTTTCAGGAACCGGCCACTCAGCTGCGCGCAATTATACGAGGCTGTTCAACCGATATTCTCACCTTTTAGTCTATCCCTGTCAATCGTTCAGTCGCTTGAATTGCTGCATTCTAGTCCACCAACCGCGCGATCAATTCGCCCACCCTCTTCTTGCCTATGCGATAGAAAAAGGTGAGTCGACTCACCCCAGTGCGATTGTCTATACATCGGTTACATCGAGTTATTCATGACATGGATCATCGAGTCTAGAACATACAACTATTGCCTGCGCAAAGACACCATTGCTAACTTAAGACATCCCCGTCCTGCAGGCTATGTCTCTACCTCAGCGTCCGGGGAAAGCCTCCCCGCGACGAGAAGATACCTACTCCTCTTTTCGAGAGTCCTCCCGCCGACGGCATCGCACCCACGAGAGCGGCCGCTACCATGAATCATCAGCCGAATCCCCATCAGGGCACCGACACCATCGCCATCACCGCTCACGCAGCTCCCGAAGACGCGACGATGTGGACGAAGAGAGAGGAGAAGTGGGCGCAGAATCAAGACACAAGAAGACTCTATCGAAGCCGGAACGCAGTCGGGTCGACCAAAACCATCCGCACTATCATTATCGCCAGAAATCTCAGAATATGCCCACGCAGCCATCGACGACCGGGGATGAGCCCCTAATGGGAGCAGACGGGGAGGCGGAAACAAACAGCTCGCAGAGCATGGACTACAAAGGAAAGGATAGGGTGTATGTGACGGAGGGAAATATCAACCAGCCCCTAGAACGACTTCCAAATCGACGTCGCATCAAGAAACGGCGATCATCACGCAAAATTACCCGGAGAGCAGCGGCAGCGGAGAGGAAGCGCCAGGAGGCCTTGGAGCAAGTGCGGCCACCCAGCCCGTGGACAACATACTGCGCGATCATTACCTTCTGGGCTCCCGACTTCACCTTGAAGTGCTTTGGAATGCCCAAAAAGGCCCAGCGGAGTGCCTGGCGAGAGAAGATTGGCCTCATCAGTCTCATCCTACTCGTCGGAGCATTCGTCGGTTTTCTGACGTTCGGATTCACAGCGACCGTGTGCGGAACCCCTCCCACACGCCTGAGGATTAATGAAGTCAGTAGCAACTACATGATCTTCCACGGCAAGGCTTACGATCTATCCCACTCCACCCACCCGGCCGCTGCTGGCATCCCTGCCGGTTCCAATGTCCTCTGGGACCTGCCCCACAAGTACGGAGGACAGGACGGAAGTTTCTTCTTCCAAGAAGTCAATGGGGCGTGCAAGAATCTAATCACACTTGCCGACGGATCGGATGTGCCTACCAATTCAGCCGGCGACCTCGCCTGGTACTTTCCCTGTCACGCTTTCAATCAAGATGGGTCGTCCAAACCGAACAAGACGGTGGATTACTACCTTGGCTGGGCCTGTCATACGTCGGGGACGGCTCGGAAAGCCTTTTATAACTTGAATAGCGCCGGAGACGTGTACTTCACGTGGGATGACACCAAAAATACGAGCCGAAACCTTGCCGTTTACGATGGCGATGTACTCGATCTGGATCTTTTGGAATGGTTCAACGCATCTCAGGTGAACTGGCCATCGAAATTCGATGAGCTTCGCGAGAATTCCAAGGTCCGTGGGGTCGACCTCACGTACTATCTGCAAACGGGCCAGGAAAAGAGGATCGGCCAGTGTCTGTCGCAGATCATCAAGGTCGGCAGTATCGACACTGATACGGTTGGATGTATCGCCTCAAAGGTCGTCCTATACGTCTCGTTGATTTTCATCTTGTCTATCGTCGTGGTAAAGTTCATTTTCGCTCTGCTCTTCCAATGGTTTATATCCGCTCGCTACGCTGCACCCAGGACCAGTATGGGCTCCGACTCCAAGACACGGAACCAGCAAATCGAGGACTGGGCCAACGATATTTATCGACCTGGTCCGCGCATGACGGATTACAGTATGGTGGAAAGGGGCACCAAACGGGCAAGCTTCCTGCCGACTACCTCTCGCTTCTCCAGCCCGTACACTGTGAGCAACGGAGGTAAGCAGAAATATCAGTACGTCACGATGGCGAGCCAAAATTCAACAACACGCCTAGTGCCAGGTGCCACCAACTCGATGTACAAGCAAAGCCACAACAGCAGCGGGGGGAGCATCGGGCCCGATGGCTCACGCCACAATGGATCAGCCAGTCGATCAAGTCTGGCCCTTCCCGGACAGGACTCACGGTACTCAACTGCCATGCTCGAATCAGAAGCTCCGGGGATGGGCGGGTATGTCCACGAGGGTGTGATCCCGCAGCCACCGCCGGAATGGCAACCCTACGGGTTTCCTCTCGCCCACTCACTCTGCCTGGTTACCTGTTACTCGGAAGGTGAAGAGGGCATCCGTACTACATTGGACTCCATCGCCATGACCGATTATCCGAACAGCCATAAGACTATCCTGGTGATCTGCGATGGAATGATCAAAGGAAAGGGTGAGGAGTTTTCCACCCCAGAGATTGTCCTAGGAATGATGAAAGATCCCATCATCCCCAAGGATGAAGTGAAATCATTCTCATATGTTGCCGTTGCCACCGGGTCGAAGCGTCACAACATGGCAAAGGTGTATGCCGGATTTTATGATTACGGCGTGGACTCCGTTATTCCAGAGGAAAAACAGCAGCGCGTCCCGATGATGGTTATTGTAAAAAGCGGCACTCCATCCGAAGCAAACAAGTCAAAGCCGGGAAATCGGGGCAAGCGAGACAGTCAGATCATTCTGATGTCCTTCCTCCAAAAGGTCATGTTCGACGAACGGATGACAGAACTTGAATACGAAATGTTCAACGGCTTATGGCAGGTGACCGGCATCTCTCCTGATTTCTATGAAGTCATTCTCATGGTCGATGCCGACACCAAGGTGTTCCCCGACAGTTTGACCCATATGATTGCTGCGATGGTCAAGGATCCGGAGGTAATGGGACTATGTGGTGAAACGAAGATTGCCAACAAGACAGACAGCTGGGTGACGATGATCCAAGTATTTGAGTATGTATCCCCCACTTTTGTCTTGTGGCAATACTAATACAAGCAGGTATTTTATCTCGCATCATCAAGCCAAGGCCTTTGAATCGGTGTTTGGTGGTGTTACGTGTCTTCCCGGGTGCTTCTCGATGTATCGGATCAAAGCACCAAAGGGTGGTCAGAACTATTGGGTTCCGATTCTGGCGAGTCCTGATGTGGTGGAGCATTACTCGGAGAATGTGGTCGATACGCTGCACAAGAAGAATCTGCTTCTGCTAGGTGAAGACCGGTATTTATCGACACTGATGCTACGTACCTTTCCCAAGCGAAAGCAGATCTTTGTGCCCCAGGCTGTCTGCAAGACGCAGGTGCCGGACAAATTCATGGTTCTACTCTCACAACGACGACGCTGGATCAACAGTACCGTGCACAACTTGATGGAGCTGGTCCTGGTACGAGACTTGTGCGGGACATTTTGCTTCAGTATGCAGTTCTGCATCTTCATTGAGTTGATTGGCACGCTCGTGCTTCCGGCAGCCATTGCTTTCACCTTTTACGTGGTCATAAACTCGATCGTGCACAGGCCAGTACAAGTGATTCCGCTGGTACTGCTTGCTCTAATCCTGGGATTGCCGGGAGTGTTGATTGTGGTAACGGCGCACAAGTTTGTATATGTGCTGTGGATGTTTATATATTTGCTATCCTTGCCAGTGTGGAACTTTGTACTACCAACTTACTCGTACTGGAAGTTTGACGACTTCAGCTGGGGCGACACGCGGCAGACGTCCGAAGGGAAGGACAAGGGGCACGAAGCAGGGGAGGGAGAGTTCGACAGCAGCAAGATCACAATGAAGCGGTGGCGAGACTTTGAAAAGGGTAAGTCAACTCCAATGCGCGTGATGACCAGAACTTACAGCTTGTTATAGATCGCCGACTGCGGATGCAGATGTCGGGCTGGGGCCAGGCTCCGGGGCCGGGAGGGTATTCAACCTATCAAGACCCCTATGGGGGGCATTAACCATTGTGGTTGATTATTTTGACTGTATATTTCGGATGTCTGATGAGTTACGACGGATTGTACTATTGTAATTTTCTGTTTCTTTGCCGCCAGCTGGGGTCAGCTGGATTGTGCCTGTCATTCGAGCTGAATGACCGTACGCTCCGGCTGGCTTTTTTGAATATGGCTTTATAATGTCGTTTAATGCGTTTGGATTCAGCATGCGCTACCACAGCGATTGTGATGTAGCAGATACGAGTAACGATATCGACGACTTGAATAATATGGATGCTTTCAGGGGTATTTTCAGAGGGTTCAGTGTACATAAACGAGTACGCCGACCCTCTTTTGCAAACCACTCCTACAGTCTCATCCACATCACGGCGTAGCTATAATTAAATAAGCCCTCACTCCGATATCCCACTCCTCGCGGCCCAAAACGCACACTCCCTCATTCCCCACTCATCCCTCCTCAACCCCGCTGCAACCCCAACCCCATCCCCGCCAGCCCGCTCATCATTCCCTTCCCCAAATACCATCACCTTCCCAACCCCTAGCCCCTCCCCGGAATCCGCACTGTACCTCTCCCACACCTCCCTCCCCTCATACCTGCCCCCCAGAACATTCGGATCGCCGTACACCACAAATGATGTTATATATGCATGGAACAAACCCGCCACCTCCCTCTGAGCCTCCGATATTCCCCGCACCCCCGGATTAAACGTCTCATACTCCATCTGATCCCCGTGATTCGCGCCCCCAATGACGGTTTTATTCAACGCCCAGCGATACAAAAATACCGGCTGATTAGCAGTAGTATCAGCAGAAGCGAACCCCGCCGTCTGCCGTACTGGACACGCATACGCGTAATGTCCATACGCCGCTTCGAGGCGCTTGTATTGCCTTCCGAGCTCCGCGATTGGTCTCGTCTCTAGATATGGCGATGCCGAGGCGTAGATGTTTGGATCGGGGTATATCTCATCGATGAGTTGTATGTCACTCTCGGGGTATGCGGGGAGCAGTGTTCGGAAGAACGAGGTGAAGTCCTCCGAGAGGGATAGATTGCGAGGGACGTAGTAGGTTCCTTCGTTTGTGTTGAATCCTGTCAGGATCGGCATTCTGTTCCACTGGCCAGAGCGCCATGCGTCGATGGGCCGGCGGTGGATGATCTCGTGGTCGATGACGGGCTGGAAGGCCCACCGGATAGACGGGTTGTATTTGTCGAAGACGGCGATGGAGGCGGATGTTATGGTTTTGGATGGAAGGGCCCGGAGACAGGGAAGGATTGCTGTGTCGTTGGGGAGGTTGGTGCAGCCGGTTGAGGTGAGGAAGTCGGTGAATTGGATTTCGTGGAGGGCGGCATTGTACGGGTGCACAGCGCGGGAGGTGGCAGCGCCAGATTCGATGATGGCGCGGTGGAAGAGAGGCGTGGTATTTTGGTCGGGGGTGTAGTTCATAATGTGGTGGGCAATCTAGGAGGTATTAGCTAGGGAGAGGTTGTAGAGGGCGGATGAAAGGGGAGGGGGTTGTTTACGGAGTGTGCGCCGGCGGAGAGGCCAATTAGAGTGACTTGGGTTGGGTCGCCGTTGAAATGCGCGATGTTGTCTTGGACCCATTGGAGTAGGAGGATTTGGTCGTGCAGGCCTAGGTTGAGGATGCCTTCTTTGGCGGTTAGGGTCGAGGGGAGAAAGCCGAGGGCGCCGATGCTGATGGTTTGTTAGTTGTGGTCGGGTTAGATTGGGGAAAGCATGATATACGTACCGGTAGTTGAAGCTGACTGCAACAAAGGGCTCGTCGGACCAGCCGACCATTGAGGCAGTGTTGTGTCCGGAGGCTGTATATTTAGCGGTGCATAAAGAAGGTGGTTGAAGGAATTTGCACTTACCAGTGCCGCGATTGTAGGCGCCTCCGTGCACGTATACAGCAACTGGGAGCTTTCCCTGGGCACCATGAGGCCGGAAAACGTTGACCGTGAGACAGTCTTCATCGCCACCTATGTCTTTCGGATTCAAGAGTTGCTTCCCGGGACACCTAAAAGCAATTAAACAGGAGGTCAATATAGTATAGAAAGGGGAAGCCTACCTCGGGCCGAAATCACTAGCATTGATAATGTCGTCCGACGCATTGACACCCATCGCGCGGCGGAACCGTCTATCCCCAATTGGAGGCAATGCATACGGAATCCCTCGAAAAGCGTCCACAGGGGATTTGAGCGTGTCTGTCAAGGTGGTACCCACAACGGTGCCCTGTGCAATTATGACGCGAGGTCGACTGAAGAGCACGACATCTTGTAGTGCTGTTGGGACCCACGGAGCGAGGATAGCTTGAATCTGCTCGGTTGGATGGGAGGCGAGTAGCTGGGCGAAAAGCAGGAGAAGGACTGGCAGTGAGGCCAGAATAATGGAGCGTACACTTGGCATGTTGAAGTGTGTTTTAGCTGGAGAAGGGCGGGGGACCTTCTCACTATTTATCATCGGGTCTACTTCTGGCGCCGAGGATATCTTTCGCATCTCTGTTTGCCAATCTTATCTCCGCTTCCTTATCGCTATCTCGGATACTTCTCCGGAATCGGGGTCGGCAGATGCAGCAGGGCTGTTGTTGCATGACTGAGTGTGCAAGGTGATCAAAGTGGAAAATCCGATCATGGTGTTGTGGGGACGTGTTTTTATTCTTATTCTTTTTAATTTCGAAGAATGTATGGTAAAAGTGTCACTGAACCGTAAAAACATATTGCGAAGGTGCTATAGCCCATCAATGTTGGTTTGTGCTACGCTGTGCCTCGCAAAGGGCCAAGAAGGATTTTAATATAGGGGCGTACTGCTGCATTGGGTACTTGGAGTAGTACTCTACATGTTGTTTCCAAAACGATGTCCTGAGCGAATAATCGGATTCCATTCTGAGATGAGAAGTAAAGTAGTAATGAAATCAAAGGGAAATGATTTAAATATATATCCAAGGTCACAGAATGTAAATGCGATATTGTACAGCCGTAAGAACAAAATGTGTGCCTGAATGCATACTTTTATTACTATCCTTATAGCAAAGGTAAAGTTTCTGGGGCATGAGAGTCGGATCTCAAGCTATGGTCCATTGTCATGAGAGTAATATCTAAATTTATAGTACCACGACCCTACATTGCAGAAACAGGAAGTAAGTATGGACAGTTAATAGAAAGCCTGAAATAAAATATTCTTTATCAGATTAATAAAAAGTAAGTATTGGGAGATTTTCAGGTTCCACTCTGTGCCGTAAGGGAGTTGATGCCCGTTAGGTAAGGCATGCAGTCGGTCTCGAAATTCCACTGACCTTGAAACACACACTGATTGTTTTCCTGTCCCGCTGCCAAGATTTTAGCGGGGAAGTTATAGAGGAGAGCCACGCGTTTACAAATGAGGGTGGCCAGGAATCTTTATGGTACAATACCTGAAATGTATATAAGATGGTATTGAATTATATTCTTATACTAGTAATGGCTTATTAATTTGCAAATCCTACCATGACAATACTTAACCACGGGAGATACCTATGGAAGTACATGGAACCTCCCACCCCGGTACTGTAGATCTCAGGGAGCCAGGAATGCCTGTTCCTGGTTCCTCGCAGACGAGCTATATAATATCAACTTCCTCTTTCTGGCAACCATGTATTACTGTCTTATTATAATTTATATAGTTAATAAATATATAAGACATTCTCAATTATTTAATATGATAAAATAAGACAGTTGTTTCCTAATCCTCTTTGCCTGCAGTTGTTATTTATTAATCATTATTTGCCGGCTATAAGGGTGAATATAATGAGATAGTGTGAAGAGTAGGTCTTATTCGCGAACACAAAATGTAGGGTTGATTTTCTTAAAGTATTGTTGCTAACTATCTTCTTTCCTCTATCCGCGAATAGTAGAGTATTCGCGGGTAGCCTGTGGGTCACGTGATGAACACTAGCCGGGCCTCGCGGCGGGACTGCTATCAGTATGGATATTCCTCGTGATTAAGTTATCGCGAGGGTTATAAGGATTTATGTCCTTACATTTTCTTAACTTATTCTGTGTAATAGATATTTATAAAGTTCTATAGGGGTACTACTGGTTTCTGGAATCTGATGCTCTGTCTGACCAGTAGTAGTTGCTAAGTAGGGTTATCAGATATGGGTGCTAATAATATATTATCGAGTTACTACTAATCATCTGAATCTATTTATCCTAGTATAATTAGTGGAATTATATGTTCAGATGCGCTGAGTAGCTTTTAGTAGCCGTCTTATTATATCTTCGGGGATTAATTATATTGAATGTTCTCTTGGAGCAGTGTATAAATTATGCACTGTATATAGCATGTATTGTAGTAGACTAGGAAATATACTAAAATAATCTATTATCTGAGAATAGGCTAGTCCGCGGGAGTGGCGCTGAGAGAATGTAAATAAATGTAAATTATATAGAAGCCTGACTTGTCAGTCACTGTATAGCAGTTCTTGTTAAGATCTTCTGCGAGCAATTTACGGGTTTGTTTGCCCTATGTACCACTTTACAGTAATGATGATGATGATGATGATTCATACGCTGGCCCCTCGCTTAAGGTGATATGCAGGATCTATTATCTGCACTCTCTATATACAACTTTGGATGTGAACTATTACTTTCCTGATGAATTTAGAGCCTTGTCAAGGCCTGTGTGGGCCAGTGTCTGGGATTATGTTTTACTGTTTTTATAGCGCGTGACTTTGAAATCTTTGTGATGCCTCCGCGAAGTCCAGGACTGTCCTGAGGACGCTGCTGTCTGGCGGGATATCTTGTAGTCTATCTTCTCTATCTTGACCTGCTTCTTCTAGTATTTTTAATATTTTATTTAAGGCTCCTCTAATCTTTTGCTGTAGTATTTGATATATTATACTAAGCTGTGGGCAGTTGATAAGTATATGTATTACTATCTCCGTGGTTCTATACTCGCACTGCTTATCTTCCCGGAAGCCATGTTGTTTATTATATATTGCCAGCCATGAATGGTGTGACGGCGAGTGACGTCTCAGGGTCACGTGACTTCTGTTTTGTTTGCTTTGTTTGCCTGCCTCGCGTGGCTTGCTTATCTTTGTATGATCACACGTTCTCCCTGAGCTTCTTCCTTTCTTTCCTCATGCTAGAAATTCTCGTTAGATAGCACCAAATTTGACTATTTGAACGGCTTCCACAAATGGCCTGTGCAGAGCTGTATAAGCAGGTATACTTGATTCTGAGAAAGTAAGTTATATAAATAATAAGACCTGCTGGATAACAGGCCTTGGTTGATGTGGTATAGGTGTTCTCTATTTTTTGAGATCCTCCATTCTTGTTCTTACTCTTGGTAGATCTTTCTGTGTATGTATTTTTTCTCCTGTGTGAGAAGATGTTTGAAGGAGTGCTTTTTATTTATATCTACTGCATCTTTAACTAGCTAGTTAGCTGTCTTGTTTCTAGGGTCCCCGCAGTAACCCGGTACCTATTGCAGTTGTAGTGGAATTTCTCAGGCTTTCAGCTTGCTAGCTGAGTGGTTAATAGCCTGGATGATGCACTGACCTGATTTATTTTATGAGTTTTTGATTACTTGCAGAGCAGACATGTTATTACTGAGAATTATTACCGGCTTATGATTTGTTTCCGCGCTTCTTTGGTTTCTCTGTGCTAGCTGGAATACTAATCTAATGGTATAGTAAATTGCCATAAGCTCAGCTGTATAAACTAACCAGTACTCTATTAAGCTGATACTGATTTATTAAGATTTTAGGACCTGTAGATTGCAGTCGAGAGTTACTGCTGCTTTATCCAGTTGATTCTACTTTTCTGAGGCATCTGAGAAGACTGTGATGCTGGTTACTGATTTTTGTCTTGCTAGGGCTCGGGCCTGCGCTTTCTCTTGGTTGGGTTTAATATTAATCTTGATAAAGGGTTGTGCTTGCCATGGTGTCAATGGCTTTGGGTCAATAGTCTCAAGAGTTTGTAGACACCTCAAGTCTATGGTTTGTATTGTCTCTGCTAGTGGAAAATATACTATACTGTAAATGTGTGTGCTGTATTCCATGGCTTGTTTTATAATTCCTTACACTGGATGATTGTCTGGTAGAGTACTGAACCGGGCTGCTGTGGTCTGTACTCGCAGCTTTAGATGTAGGTGAGTAAGCAGTATGTGAGACTTAATTTCCAGGGTGTTGGTAGAGACTGTTTGGAAGGCAGAGAGAATATAAATAAATGCTGTGTGCTGCAGTGTCTCAAAGAATTATAGGTGTGTTTTACTGTGTAGCGGATCATGCCATACAGTTGATGCATAGTTAATGGTGGGTGTAATACACGCTTGGTAGAGCTGGTGTATTTACTCTGGTTGAAGATGTCGGAGCCTGCTCAGGATAATAATTCTTTTGGTTGTCTGTTTAACTGTGTGTTGTATATATTTTTTTATTGTATCTCTGTATCAAAGATGACCCCCAGAAGTTTGGCTGTGTCTGCTGGTTTAATTACTTTATTATTTATAGTTATCTCGCCCCTGTCCTGGGCTGGTTTGTGATGTGTGAGATGAATTAGCTTAGTTTTCTTAGCTGTAAATGATGTGCCGGTTTTCTGTGTTTATTACTCAGTCTGCAGGATATCTTCTTTCTGGATCTTTTGGATATTCTCCTCTACTGAGGAACTGGTTTACCAGCAAAAGTAGTTGTTAATAAATATTGATGCTTTACTGTTGCTGTCAACCGGTTGATCAACCAGATCTGAGTTATAGAATCCAAATAAGATAAGTGAGAGTAGGGAATCCTGAGCTAGCCCTGTATTTTCTAAAGGGATATTATCTGATTTGAAGTCATCAAATGTTATACTGGCTGATTGGCTTGCTATAAAGCTAGAGATTTATTATCGAGCCTTTAACGGTATCCTCTTCGCCCGCAGATACATGTCAAGAGTGGTCTTGCTGACCCCGTTAAAGGTACCTTTTAGGTTAAATATAATTAATATTACTACTCTGGATTGTACCTATGCTTGATCAACTGTATTCGCGAGCATCAGCAAGGCTTGCTCGGTGTTCCGTCCCGGCCTGCCTCTGAATTGAGTGTTAGGGAGCAGCTTGTATTTCTCTGCCTAATACAAAAGTCTTCAGGCTATGACAGTTTCTAGCAGCTTTCCCAGTGTATTGAGCAGGGAGATCGGATGGTATATTCCCGGCACGGAGTAATCCGGCTTGCCGGGCTTGCGGAGGACGATGATATACGTCTGTTTCTATTCTCTCGGGTAGTATCCCAGATCCACTGATTTTGTGAAGATAGTGGTAATAGTTCCCTTTAGAAACGTCCAGAGATGTTTCCAGACCAGGGTCGGGATTCTGTCTCGGCCCGGGGCTGTAGTCCCCTTTGCGACTCGGAGTGATTGGTAGATCTCCTCCTCGGTGATTGGTTTCCATGGTAA